ATTAAATCATCAATTTTAATTTTCTACATCGTGAATATATAATTTTGATAATACTTACGTTTCCTTATCAACTGTATCAAATAAAAACTCGTTACTGGGTATTAGCGTATCCGTTGAACTATCTACCGATGGATTCAACGGCGAATCATTCAAAATTTGCATTGTTTTTGTGTAATGTTCCACTTTGTTCAAATCTTCCATGATATTTTTCTCTACTGCATCATCAATTTTACAACTTTCTGTACAATTGTGTTTCCCTTTTTCACCCGTTTCTGTGTCGAGTGTTAACGAATCAAATTTTCTATAATAAAATTATATGAATTACACATATATTATTTCATTCATTCTAATATAAAACGTTATATAAATAAAAAAAAATGAAATTATTATTATTAAAAATTAAATAAATTTAATTACTTTTCCATCGAAGCGCTTGGATCACTAAGTCGACGATGAAGATAGGCCGTATGATCGGGTGTGTGCATAAGATCGCCATATGAACGAGTTTTAGTCATTTGACCTTGAGGTTCTTCATTTTCAGCACCCTCAATATCTATCATTGTTACTTTTTGTTTATCATCTCTCATGCCAAGAGGACATTCCATAGAACCTAAATATACTTCGGACCATAAAACAAGATCACGGACATTACAACTTGGCCATAATACCTAGCAAATAAAAAAATTTTCTATAAAATGTTTTAAAATACGGAATGTGTCTATTATTACTATTATTCTATTACATTATTGAAATATTTATTATATGTAAATTTTACATAAAAATATCAAATTATCTAAATAATTGATAATGAATTTATCATAATATATATGATGAAAAATATCTTACTTGATTTTTTAAAGGAGAATACAAATGATTTACGAATGAACTGGTATTTAAAAAACGCCAAACAGAAAATGTACGTTCCCGTATTCTTAATTGTAATCTTTCTTGCATTGTATTACAAAGAAATGTGCCAAAAAGCTGAGAATATGTATGCTGTGCAAGTTTTACCTAAAATCGATTAATGTAATTAATTGAACTAATATTTTAAAACAGATATATATGAATTTCTGCTTATTTACAAGATATGCAGAGGACATTTGAAAACTGCACTTGAATTGTAAAATTAATTGATGTACACAATCGAGCCATTGTAAAAATACTGGACATCGTTCATTCGGATCTTCACAGCCTACCGTTTGTCCACAACGATCCGCAAATTTATGTCCAAAGTCTAACCATTCTCTCTCACATAAAATTTGGAATCCCTAGTAATGATAAAACGAAATAACGAAATGATTATTAATTATAAATTAATAACAAGAAAGAAAAAATACCTTTGGCATACCTCCATAGTTCGATAATAAGGATCAAGAAGAATTTGCGCTAGAGCAACAATCTGAGGCGTTCTATCCCAACCATCACTACAATGTACTAATACCGGTCGGCCATCCCTTTCTATCGCTGATGCTACAGTTACTGCAGCACGTAATAATCCAGACATATGTTGTAACCATCGTGTTCCTTCCAATAGACTGAGCCAACTATACAAATTGAAATATATATATATATATATATATAATTATCAATATAATTATCAATATATATATATATATATATATATATATAATTATCAATTTAATTCAAATAGTAAATGTTATTACCATAATAAAAAGAAAAGATAACTAAACATATAAAATATTTACTTAGGTTGATCTGCATCTGATGCACAGAGTTGTCTCACCGCGTGAAAACTTTTTCGTATCGAATGAATATTTGGTAAATTCATGAATTGTATATCACAACTTGGATAATATCCAGGATATTCGTAACCACCTCCGCGTGCTCTATTAGCAAAAGCAGTTGAATATGACCTAGCATCCACGATTAAAACTTTCTATAAACAACATAAATTATTAATTCGCTAAAGATCAAATTAGCTTTAAATATTTATATATTCGATGCTCACTTTCGTTCTATTTGTCGTGACATTATCATCGCCAGAATCAGGGTAAATGCTAGACGAATCCGATTTACCTTTATCGTAGGAACATGCATCCGAAAGACCCTGCAAAAGCATTTCATCTTCCGGATTTCGCCAACCGAGCCATCCAACTTCCGGTTGACTGCTCCGTGCTATTACTGCACCATTATTTACATGCCTTTGAAATTATAAAAGACAAATGTGATATATTATAATAAAATGAATAATCATATCATCATGAATATTTTTTTTACTCTTTATTTTTTTAAGTACCTCCAAACAACGACAGGAATTCGTCGAAAACTTCTGTATTCTGCTCCAGCCTTGAGTTTATCATCAGGAACACAAGAAGGAACTAAAAGTAATGGTGGATAGGACGGGCATACGCGATAATCTTTATTGATTTGACTTATACGCCATGTAGTATGTAAATTAAATTTTAGTCGTTCTACCTAAGAATAAAAATAATTAAATTATATTAAAATTAAGTTTATTAAGTTTATGTTTGTTTTCTTATTAATTACTTACTTCTGAATTAAAGGTAGCACTATATGATATATTATCTTTTCCTAATTTAAAATTTTCTTTGCCTTCTTCCATAGACCAAGCATAATATGCAAAAGCAAATATATCTTCTACACTCTTTCGAGGATAAGTTACTTTATGTAATCGCTTGAACCATTCCAAACAATGTTCATTTGTTGCAAAAACACAACTGAAAATATTAAATTATATTATGATAAAAAACATTATAAACTTTAACAAAATAATAAAATGCCATACCTTAGTGAACGAGCATCCTTGCAAGCAATATGCAAGAAAAAAAGTTCTTTAACTTCTAACTGCTCTATTAAACCCAATGGAATATTGTAACATGCCTGACTTAATTGTAAATAGAGTCTGTAATTAGAAAGAGCCAATACTCCATCCGATGTACGTCCAAGTGCTACAATATTTTCTCCACTCAAAGGTGTAAATGGAACTGTAAGTGTTTGATCCTCACATTCAAAATGTGTATGCTTTGGAAATAATTCCGAAGCATGTAAATGACAAATGGATTGCAAACTTGTTGGCTCTTCAGAATTCTCCATCTCCTCTCTATGTGACACATCATATATAAACTTGAATCTTCTTCTTGAACATGAAAAGTTCTTATTGCGAATTATAGATTATTCATATAGTTTATACATAATATAGCATTGGAATATTCTAACTTTCATAACTATTTAATAGACGTGATTATTTATTAATAATTTATATAATAGTTTATGTAGATATTTTACACAAACATTATATAGTTCTTCATAATATCGTTTCGCCTAAATTATACACATCTCTTATAAATTTTAATAAAAGCAAATAAATAATCATATATCATAAATATATATCAAAAATTTATCAAAAATTTTCAATATTATTTATATTTTATCGATTGATAAATACATATCATTTAAATCACGATTAGACATCAAATTCCATAAATCTATTCGAAATAAGATGATACCGCAAGTAAACGAGATATCGATAATATACGCTAAAGTGCTTATGTTTATTATCGCTTATTGATTTGTGTCATTTTAAAAATGTCATATATAAAAATATATTGATGAAATAAAAAATGTATATAATATATACAAAACAATGTTTTATCTTTATGGGTTATCCATTTTGTTTCAAAACAAAAATATTTACAAAAATAAATACAAAAAAAAAATGTATCATTCTTTATTAATCATTTAAATATATTTAAATATTATAACCAAAAGAATAAAATTTAAGAAATTAAAATAATAGAAATATAATAGATAATAAAATATATATTAAACTAATAGACATTTAAATTGACATACATATGCATATTCATGTTTGTTGAAGATTGATAATGCTACAAACTGCCACAAAATGTTTTAATTGCAATTATCAAACTAAATAGAATAAAAACATTTTATATAAAAAATTAAGAAAATGTTAAAAGATAAAAACATTTTCAAATAAAACAGCCGGATGTTTTTCGCATGTTCTTTTTTTCATAAATAATAATAAACTAAAAATAACAAGTTTATAATATAAGTAACAGTAATGATGTCTTACCTTGAATTGCGAAGTTTCTTCGCGATGGACGATATCCAATCGTTTTAATATTTCATACAAAATCCATGAATAATCGTTTATACAAGAAGTACAATGTAAACATTATTAAATTAAAAAAGAAAGCCTTTTTCCACATGGGAAAAAATATAACTATTTTGATTCCAAGCGTAACAAGTACCTAAGTATTTTAAATTTTTCTTAAAAGATACGTAGGTAGCTTACGGGATAAACGATTCTCTTAGTCTTATGTGAACTCAATCCAAACGCGATCACTTTTCGTTACAACAATTCAGAAGAATGATCAGCATCATAAAGAGTGATCTCCATTAATTAAATTGTTTGTTTATTTTTTTTCTTAACATTCGCTGAATAATGGTTTTATGAAGAATTCATTTTCTGATTAATTTTTTTAAAAGACACTCATTCTACTCGATGCGAGAGTTAGAATGACAGATTAATCTATATACAAATTAAGCTGTTTTTCCACTATTCGGTATACTTCTTATTGGTTATTTTCAACGTAAGAATTTTTTCTTAAAATCATTTTATCATTTATCATAATACAAAAAATCATTTTTTATTTTTAAGAATCAATAAAATATAGATAACATAAAACTCTGGTCAAGTAATTGATATATTGAATAATTTTATTATGTAAATACATATTAATAGGTTTCAATTTTATCCTCATGAAAGTACAAATAATATCACTATGAAAATTTCTTCATCATTCATTGCTTTTCTCTTGTAACATAACAATCTATCTTTATAATTGTTCGTGGATATTCATAAACTTCACGAACAAAATGGAAGTCGACGCATGCGCCATTTCCATTGCTTTAATCATAAATTAGGTTTAATGGTTTTTTTTTATCATATTATAAATTAAAAATATTTACATGTTTCTAATATTTTGCGTTATTTACGAAATATAGAATAATTAGAATAAAAATGATATAATTCTATTCTTTCATGACTAATTCAAAAAGCATATACTTGATATCAACAATAAAAAATGAGATGAATGTTTATATTAAATATTAACAGGTTGCAAGTACTGCATTTTGAATAAGGTACGCAATAGCGTCATAATTACTCTTATTATTATCATATTGTTCTTTAGTGAGAATATAAAAAAGTTGAATTTACGCGCACAATATGACGCATTTTGATACACCATACTTCGCGAACACAAAGCACGAATGCTGTAAAATGACGCATCACTATGCAAAATGGAAATGAACTATTAAGAGTTGGTTGTTTTCTCATCATGCTTTCCAAAAATTTGGATTTTGTTGTAACCTCCTCTCAAAAGTTTCATACCATCCTTGAATAGCAGATAGCGGTACAAAGTTTTCTGTTGGATTTGGTGTCATTTGTGCTTGAGTCACAGAAAAACTTGAAACATAATTCAAAAAACTAGTAAGCATTTTTTGAACAAATTCTAAAAATGAGTTTGATGTAGCCTGTGTCACTGTAGCTGCTTGTTGTTCTATAGCTGCAATAGGTTCAACAGAAACCCCTATTTGTGCTACATGTGAAATTTTCCCAACTCCAAAAATTCCTAAATTGCTATTTTCAAACTCATGATTCTTCTTTAAGTTTGATATTTTAAATATAGCAGATGGTTTAACATTTGAGATATATCCAAGGAACTGCCAGTTAGGTGGAGCAGTTGGATCTGGCCAACTGAAATATACTATAAAAAAATCAATTCTTAGAATATCATTAATATCATATTTATATAATTTATATAATTATGTAATATTATAATATACCTGCACCACCTGTACCATCAGGAAATGGTATAGTACCTGTGAGAAATACCACAATATGATTTATATTATCTGCATCAGGTACTGTTATTAAAAACTGATTTTCTCCTATCTGCTGAAAATCCGTTTGTACCTAAAAAAAAATTTAATTTATGATAAATTTAATATACAATTACATATTATACATATATTTTAAATAATTCAGGTTTATTGACTGAAATTTAAAAAAGATTTAAATTTTTCGACATTACATTTCACATGTTCGATTAGATGCTCGTGTCAAGCTGACGACGGGGTAGGATGAGGTAGGGGCATTACTGAAAGGTAACAAAAACAAGATACGAAACAAAACCACATAATATATAAAGAATAATAAACTAAAAAAGAATAAAATGCGCTTTAAATAGGAAAATTGATATATTTATGATTAAATAACATATTTGACAGTTTAATATCGAAAATGAAATACAATGTCGGTATTTATTACTATAAAACTTTAATACTTACGAGTCGACCAGATACAATTATACCAAGCATCTTTATGTCGAATCTAGATCATTCTACCGCCTTCTATTTATCAGGTTATACCAGTAAATATACGGTAAATACAAGACGTCGTGTCTCCGTCCAAACATTTACAACCGCGAGAATGGTGTTTATCACGATTTATACAACTATGTAGAGAGCAGAAACTAAAATAAAATTAGTGATTGCAAATAAAGCAGCATTTTTATGAGTACATATGAAACTTAATAGGAATAATTTTCTTCAAAATTTTTAAATCAAAATAAAAATAAGTAAAAAGTATTTTATTGATCAATTTACTTACTTATTTATTAAATTATTTTCTTTTTTCTATTTTATGTTTCTTCACAAAAAATTTTTAATCGATATATATAATAGATAAATATATAATAAATTCTAATTCAATTGAAATATAGCAATTTACCACCTGTTATTCAAGATTAATATCAAACTACATTTTAATAAATTTCTTAAGTATTTTAATAAAGCAATTTTATATATTTTATTTTTTATATTTTTATTTTTTTCTTTTCTATATATTTTAAAATTAAATTTTGAAAAGATATATTTTTAAAATTTTCATTTTTTAAGAATTTATATATTACGCACGATTCACAATTATTTTATTTACATATACTGTATCGAAATATTTTTTCTTACTTTCGTATACTTGACTCATATTATATAAATCTAAATAAACGATAATGTTTTTTTAAGTATATTTTTTGATTTTGTAAAAATAAATAATATACATAAAAAGTATAAAAATTATTGAAAAATATTTATTTACATTGAAGAAAACTTTCTTTCTCTGGTTGAATCATTTTTCTATAGTAAAATTCTTCATATCAAGCATAGTAAGGAATCAGTTTTATAAATTATTTCTTATTCTCTACATGAATCTGTGTAAATAAAATGAATGAAAATGAACTAGAAAGAAATTATTAAAGGTATATTTATAACGTAATTACAGTGAATGTGATCTTTTTTAGAAAAAAGAAAAATGAAATATATATGTAAAATGAAATATACGTAAGTAACATGTGTAACATAAATCAATGACGTCAATAATTTCCTAAAATGAATTTTTTAATCTTAAGCTTGATGACGAATTATTAAAAAAAACTTGTTTTTGATCATACTATTATTGTGTTTTTATTATTATTCGATTATTATGTTGAAGTATAGTGAAAAGTAAGATTTATACTAGAATATGATTTGCAATAATTAAAAACATTCGGAATATTGTAAGTTAAAAACAAAATAAAAGAAAATTCTTGGATAAATTGCCATGGCGATGACAGTGATAGTGAGAGCAAACCTCTACGAACTTCGCTGTGTGTGACATCACTCTTCATTGTTGGAGGTTTACGTCATTCTCGAGTCTGGTCCTAAGTCGGTGCGCGCGACCTACAGTAGTATATACACGCGTACAGACTAGTGGCGGGAAGTGATAGAGACGAAAAAGGCAAAAAATATAAATTATTATTGTAATTAAGTGAAATATATTAAACGTTTCGTTTTTCATTAAAATAAAATCATTATTTGCCTATAGTGACTTCTTTTTTTGAATCAAAAATTGGAAATTATTAAACTTATAAGTAAGAAAAGGAGAAAGGATACTGTGCCGATGGAATGGAGGAGTGAGGGTAACTAATTGTAAGAAGAATAGAGAGGAAAGGGTGAAAGAAAAAGGAAAGAAGGTGCACGAGATAGAAAAGGAACATGATATGAAGCGCGACGTTTAACAGTGGTAGCGCTGATTTGTGATTTCATCAACGATTACTGATTTCGAGGGAACTTAATCTGAATCGAGTGTAGTGCTTTCGAACTGTAGAGTATTTTTCGCGCGGTAATAAAATTACGCGCGATATCACTGATATCAAAAGAATGTTCATGAGTATGTAATTTATTTGTGATTTGTTCACAGCAGTGCCTCTTTGACGACGCGCTCTTACATTTTAAATATAACGATGTATAAATAAGTATGAGCAATAGCGGGAGTGTACTATCAGATCTCTCATTGTTGATTTTTCCAGAGAATCTGAGTTTGATTACCGCGTTTTTTTATTCAGATTTGAGACTTATAAATGAATGCACATGAAATGCAGTCGAAATCAATGTTTTTCCCTTTGAAGTTTACCACATATGTTTTTTATGCGTGGGCATGCAGCACCGAACTATCATCAAGGTTAGTGTGCCTGACAGGTTCTCCATCGCCTTGCAAACTTACGCTAGTTCTCAATGGGTAGCAGTGAATAGCTGCAGTAGGTAATTAAATAGTGTACTTTAACGTGTATATTTATTAGTAATAAAAATAACATTGTAAATGTTTCGAATATATACATTGTTATCATAATGATTACGATTTTCTTTATATTTATATCTCTATTTACAAAGATGTAAAACAAATATGAATATTTTTCTTTCTATTCACTATATAATTTATAATTATGACATACTATATAAGAAAGAAAATAAAAAAAATAATAATAATAATCTTTCTTTTAAATAGGAAAATTCAAAATTCTCCTCTGTTGAATGATTAAGAGATAAATATATCAAATAGGCATAGATTCTTTGCCTAATTCATATTATTTTGTACAATGAAATCTTTCTGTATATCTGTTCAAGTTCATATCAACAGATATCGACAAAATCTATGTAAGTATAATTAACAAAAATATATTTATTATATCTTAATAATAACTTTAATATAAAAATTATACTTTGAACTAAAAAATTTCACTAATGAAAGTATTTTATTTCAGGGAAAAAAAACATACGTAATGTTGTCACTTGTATATTGGATACACATACACAAAGAGTGGCGACTTACTAAAAATTATCTGATTATTGGTCCTCATGCTTATATAATGCTCCAAGAATTTTATATTTTTATCATTGAATTGGCACGTTTGTGCAAAAAAAGGTAATGTAAATATTTTCTTTTAACTTATTGTTGCTTTATTTATTATGCAACAAAAGTGAATAAATATGTTACAGGCTTAAAATAATAAACAATTGGTTGTAATTAATGAAAGGAATAGTTTTTCAAAATGCAGCGTAACATGCTTTTCCTTGTTGCAAAAGGATTTGATACTTGGAAGTATGTTTAGCAGTACAATATTACATACATTAAGTTAATTGGTAATAAAATGATTTTAATATTAC